GTTGTACCTATAAGACTTCTGGCGTGAGTATGGGTGACTTGCAGAAGTGGAGGGTTGCAGGACACAGAAGAACTGTGAAGGGATTTAGTAAGGGTAGCCTGGAAGGCAGAAGCACTAGCACACTGAGCAAGTCCAGAGGTGGCCATGTGTTTCTTTCTAACAACAAAATACCTTTGACTAATAATTTAGCTGAAGATATAAGGGACCCAGCTCTGAAGGTGACAGTGCCTGAGTCATGGCACGCCACGTCATTTAGGGTTAAAGTGTGGATCATCCCGTCCTGCTCAGAGATTTCAGTCACAAAGTTGTTGTGAAGGGGGGATCCATCGAGCCACCACTGCACGTTCTTCACGCCCGGGTGCGAGAGCTCGCAGGTGAACGTGGCTGACTCACCCACGAAGACGTCTGTGTTCTTTAAACCAGAAACTATGACTGCTTCTTCTTCTGTATAACAGAGCAAGAGAAGGTGCCAAAGGAAAACAAAAGCATAAACATATACATGTCGCTTCTTGCAGAACTAGCCCAAGCAACAGTGCAAGTGGAGTCCAGGAGAGTTAAACTTGTAATGTTGTTCCGGGGGAAAAAAGAGCTAAAATTTTCTTTAAGGGATTTAGAAATCATCTTCCGTTCTTCACCTGCTTGCAAGCGCAGTGTGTGTGTGTCTGCAAACACTGTTTCATTGGGAGGAAACTACTCCAAGACCAGGTCAGGGCTGGTTCTCCTGTGTGTTGCAACCATCTGCACTGACGTTGTATGAGGCGAGAGGCAGAGAGGTAGCTTAAGATTTAAATGTTTACTTACAGTGCTTTAGAAGTAGTAAGAATATCAACAAGGATAGAAGCTGAAGTCAATAATAACAAGAATTTCAGTATTTTTTACGACTACTACTCCAAGCAAATAGTTTTTCAGCAGTACTACCATCTGCTATGGTCCACAGTACGGTCAGTACTTTGATAGTCCTTAGCATATAAACATTGGTCCAACCTCAGCCTGGATGTAATTATTTTATACTTTCACTGAAATCAGGAAATAAACGAATGGACTTTCAACTGTTTGCATCTGAGACAAGTTTGGCCAGTTACTGTCAAAGATTTTGGAATAAGAAATCCAGCCAGCAAAATCAGGGCATTTCCACCACATTTCACCTTACCTTGCACATACACAGAACCTGTGGTGATCTCGTATCCAGTGCTACAGGTATAATCCCCACAGTCATCAGCCTCTACACCATGGATGATCAGCTCGGCAGTGCTGCCTTTCAGCTTCATCTCGTACTTGTCACTGGGCTGAATGACCACCCCTCCTTTTCTCCACTCAACGGGGGCGTCCGGCTTGGAGATCTCACAGTGCAAGACAGCTGTTCCCCCTTCTTCAGACTCTACGTTTTTCAGCTCTTTGTTAAACAGCACGGGTAATACTGCGGTGGAGAAGCAACTGCATCAGTGACAGGGCTCAGAGGTGAGAAACTTGCTTGCAACTTCTCCGGCTTGGCTGAAATCACACACTCTGAGCAGGAGCTGGTTATGGCTAAACTCAGGATCTAAAAGCATGATTTTGTTGCTCAAGTCAAAAATCACAGCACTGTTAGGATAAAATGAATAAATTATAAAACCCAAAATCATAGCCATGAGAAAAGGCAAAGAGCTACAATTCTTGGGCTGCTCAGGCACAAACAGGTATCATGGCTCAATTTAAAATGAGGCTGTTCTGGGTATGGTGAAATACTCGAGTCTCTTATTTTTAGGCAGCAGGCAAGTTTTGTAACTGCTCTTGTACATACCCTTCATTAACAGCAGCTACAGTTTTGCTCCCAGCTCTGACACTGAGATCAAAATTGCAACTGTAGAAATACAATTGAGTTTAAAAGGCACTCAATTTTTCCTTGAAGAACGAATTGCAGATCAAACCCTTTCCTGCAGTTGTAATTCACAGACTGTTAATGATAATTCAGCGGTAAAACTTCCATATCACCCCTATGGAGGACAGCCACAGCCATAACTTCTCTGCCTTCAGGCAAGGCTTCTCCTACCTTTGACTTGCAGTGATGCAGTGGTCTGCTGATCCCCCGAGTCGCACGTATAATCGCCAGCATCCTGAGCCTCAGCATCATAAATGAAGAGCTCAACATGTGTCCCCTCTTGCCGGATCTCATACTTGTCACTTGGCTGCAGCACCGTGTCTCCTTTCCTCCACTCCACAGGTGCACTTGGTTTCGTCAGCTCGCAGTGCAGCATGGCTGTGCATCCTTCCTCCACCTCCTCATTTTTCAGCCAGTGTTTGAAAAGCACGGGCAGGGCTTGAAAGGGGGAATGGTGCAAAGGGAAAAAAAAAACCAACAAAAAAAACCCCAGGTGAAGCAAAAATAGAAATTGGAGGAATGTTTTATTTTGAAGGTAGTGATAATGCCATTCATGAAGTTCATGCACAATTCTGGCTGCATTTACCTAAGGAGAGCTGCCAGGGGCAGGGATGCCTAGGTCTAAGTCAGAGAGAGGAGGAGGAGGGAGAGGAGTTAACCAGCAAGAAAAATATCAGTTCTACAGAAGCTGCATATCTCTCCCCATATCCTAAACTTGTTTTCACAAAAAATTCCTAACTAACTTCAGTAATAATTTCTGAAGCCTAGATGGTTTTCCATCCCCAAAATAAAACCACCGAACAGGATAAAAGTACTCAAAGAATATACACCTGCAGACCTGAGGCTTCAGTTCATGCAGCTAGTGATCAATTACAGAATAATTAAGGCTGAAGGGACCTCTGGAGGTCCTCCATGGATGGAGATTCCTCCACCCCTCTGTGTTCCAGTTCCAGTGTCTGACCACCCCTTCATTATGAAAGGTTCTTGGTTTTTTTTTCTCCTAATCTGAATTTTTCTTGCTGCAGCTTGCACTTGTAGCGTCTCATCTGTTTATTGAGCACCCCAAGGAAAGTCTCGCTCTCTTTCCTCTGTAGACCCCTATCAGTTAGCTGCAGACAGCAACAAGGTCCCTCCTCAACATTCTCTTCTCCAGGCTGAACAAACCCAGCCGCCCCTGCCTCTCCTTGGTGGCCTCTGCTGCACTTGCTCCACCTCAATGTCCTTCTTATACTAGAGAGCTCCAAAAGTTGACATGCACACCTCTCACCGCTGCTGAGCAACGGGGAAATCATACCTTTAACCTCTAGTCTGGCAGTGGTCTTCCCATCAGCTGTGTGGCAGCTATACTCCCCTGAGTCCGCAGTGTTCAAATCATGAATGACCAAGGTGTGCACATTCCCCTCCTGCTTGATGCTGCACTTCTGGGTGGAGTGGATCACGGACGTGCCTTTCTTCCACTCCACAGGGACATCAGGCTTGGACACCTCACAGGACAAGTGAGCCGTGCCACCTTCCTGTAGCTCCAAGCTGTGGAGCGTCTTTACAAAGGTGACCGGAGCAACTGTGGGGAAGAGAGTACCGACACTGCTGCAGCTGCCTGATCCAGCATTGCCCCCAGAGCAGAACTGGGTGCCTGTAGTTACATTTTGAACCAGATCAAAGAGGAACAAACAAGATAAGGTATTGACATGGCCTATCTTTCAAAATCATTCTGCATTAACTCAGTGGAAAGGTTTTTCAGAGTTTTTGGATGTTTTTTGGAGTAAATATGATCTAAAGATGTTATAAGTAGGAGGTTAATTCAGAGCATATTATTGACATTCTTCAGCATTTATTCTGACATATCTTAGCTGCTTGTTTCAGGATAAGTTGGATGGTCTTCAAAGGATGTTTTCTTCACTCCATGGACTATAAAAAGGACTGAAACAACTAGCTCAGATACACGTATCTAACTCTGAAATGCCTAAATTGGGTTAGCAGAATCTACCAAATTTTCCAAGGATCCCTCCTCCTAAATACACCTCTCCAGAAGATAAAGCAATGTTGATAGTGCTTACCAGTGCCTCCTCAATCCCTCTTCCTAGGAGGTTTCTCACCTTGGACCGTTAGCTGTGCCGCTGAGGTATGCTGCCCGACTTTGAAACTGATGGGTCCACAGTCTTCTAGTGTCACCTTCCTCAGGATCAAAGTGTGATGTGTCCCTTGGACTCTGATCTCATTCATTTCATTGGATTGCAGGGGAACATCCCCCAGGAACCACTGGGCATCCTGAGCTGTTTCCCGGGACAGCCTGCATTCAAACACTGCGTCCTCTCCTTCATACGAAGTGACGTCCTTCAGCGTCTCCACTATGGTTGCTGCTGATTCTTTATGGAAAGGTCAACAGATTTTGATATCTGCTTTCAAGTGATGCTTCCTGGGTTAAACATTTTGTTATGCTCTTTCTTGACAGTACTATACTATTTGAAAGAACGACCACAAAGCACTAAGCACTAAATGCATAGAAATGTAGTTACACGGGCATGTAGTAACACGTCATATTTTTACACATACATAACGTACGTATGTGTGCATGTATATTATGCATATATATGATAGTCTAAAAAGTGCATGTTATACTGTATTGTGTCTATAATAAATATATACTATATATTTATAATGAAATCTATATACTGTGAAAACATTGTGAACAGATTTTAGTGGGTGACATTAACATTAAACCACAGAATAATGGACTAAAGACCGGTTTCTCATTCCCTAGAGATAACTGACCCAGTTCTTACCCCTCTGAAATCACCCTTGTCTCTAAGATCCCCATGATTCAGTTTGGGCACAGGACAGTGTCTAGCTGTAACAGTACTTAATTATGTGCCCCTGCCACGGTACCAAGCTCTGTACAGCTCTTCCCCACGCAAAGCCCCACCTTTCACAAACACAGCTGCAGTGGTTTGCTGGTCCCCTGTGTCACACACGTATTCCCCAGCATCAGCTTCACTCAGGTTGTGAATCGTCAGCTCAGCCACGGATCCAGCTTGATGCATCTTGTATTTCTCACTTGGTCGCAGTACTGTTCCAGCCTTCTTCCACTGCACAGCAACATTTGATTTTGAGATTTCACAGCTCAAAGTGATGGTTCCACCTTCTTCGGCTTGCTGGTTCTGGAGTGGTTGTGTGAAGATGACTGGCAAAGCTAAACCAAGATAAATCAGACAAAAAAAATTATGTTTCATTGCTGACTGTGTCACTAAGTGTTGTATTTAATGAAACTCTTGTGCCGTTCCAAATTTGGTTCAAACTCAATTCCAAAATTACTTTAAAATCCAAACAAGGAATGACAGAAAGTGCTGGATTTCCAGCAGCACTAAGCACTCTGCACTCCCCAAGAGTCACTGGGCACCGCACACACCGAGCACCTTTGGGAATCTGTTCCTTCTTACACAGGAGCGGTCATGGATACGGACTACTGAGCATCTAAGTGCATGTATCTCCAAATGGGTACCACAGCCACAACTCAAAAGCCTACGCCTGCTATCTAAGTTCTTGGGTATTTGGGAGGGTGCATGGAGAAACATCATTATATAATGCCCCTCATTTGAAAACTGACCCAGAAAAGATATGAACTTTGGAAGTCTCTGCACTGATGTGTATCACTGAGGGGTCAAGATGGAGTTTTGATGGGTTAATTTACAATGATGTGCCACATTTAGAAATTTAGTTCCTCAAGTCCACTTCCCTAGAAGGACCATGGTGGTTCCACAGTTAAGGCTGAATTGGTATTTACAAGGGAAGGAGATGGGGTTCCACAAATCAGAGTGAATTCACAAGAACTGGGTGGCAGATGAGTATGAGTGCAGATAGATCTGAAGGTTCTTGCAAGCCATGTAGGAATGGATGGTGTATTTTGTGGGACAGCTGGGGAATGGCTGGAGTCAAGGTTTTCATACAGTTGCGTTTGCAGTGAAGGCATCCCATTGCGCAGCTAATTCCTGCAGCCCTAGGGTTCTCAGGAGCCAGCAAAGGAATAAGGAGGAGAGAGAAGTCTTTGTGAAGGCCAATTTTGTCAGGCTGCATCACTGTTGATTCAGAAATCCTCATCACAAAAAAGGACCAAACTCTGTCACAGTGTCCCTGAACCTTTTGTATGGAACATCTAAACTAACCTAGAGCTCCCTAAAAGGTGAAGTGAAAGCTTTTTGTCACCTTTCAGTACCAAGGATGCCATAGATTGCTCATCACCAGAATTGCAGATGTAGTCTCCAGCATCCTTCAGCTGTAGATCATGGATGAGTAGCTCCACAGCAGATCCCATCTGCTTCATCTCCTATTTGTTGCTGGCTTGGAGCAAGAATGACCCTTTTTTCCACCTCACAAGTGCATCATGTGTTGAGAGCTCAGCATGAAGGGTGACTGTAGAGCCTTCCTTGGCTTCCTGGTTTCAGAGGTTTTTTTTCCAGAGTGCTGGAGTGGTTGGGACCACACACAGAGGCACAAATGGACAGCCACAATCAGAGGATCTGCTTACAGGACAAGTATTCTGCTGTCACTGGATGCTCCAGTGATGTGCATGCCTTTCATGGGAGAGCCCTCAAGAGATATTTCTAAAGATGGTGTTTCACAAGAACATCCTGGCTCCTCTTTACTTTTGCCGATCTTATATCTCAGAAAAAGTCATCTTAATATTGTATTTGTACCAGAGTAGATTTAAAAAAAATTGATATATTGGCACATTACGCCTATTTTTAAGACCTACATCTATTATTTTAAGGCACTAGAATTATTTAGATGCCTTGCTTGTCAGCTGGAGTTGAGTGCCCAAGTAAGTTTGAGCACTTTGAGTGTTGAGCATAATTTTCCCACGTGGAACTGCAGCTCAAAGGATGGTTAAGCATCAAAAATGGTCTCATTCTAATTTTAGTTCCAGCCTTGGTTTTCTGAGTGACTGGAAAGAGGCCCTTGGGTCTAGGATTGTGGAAGCAGTTACTGCACTTGGGTCCCTCCATGTTCATTGCTCAGGACGCCACAAGAATTAAAATAACTTCCGAAAGCGAAAGGAGTCTGCTGCTTTATGCAAAGTACATCTGAAGTCAAGGACAGTAGATAGCACCTTTTTCTCAGCACTAAGCTAAGGAAGTGGAACATCTTAAAAAGAAAACAAACCAACCTACCTTTAACAGTTAAAGTGGCTGTCGTTTGTTCATTTCCATTATCACAGGTGTATTTGCCAGAGTCTTCTGGTTTTAAGTGATAAATCTTTAAGGTATGGATTGTTCCCTCCTGCCTGATTTCATACTTGGAGCTCGGAGAAATCACCTGGGTGCCCTTCTTCCACTTCACCGTGGCGTTAGCCTGGGAGACCTCGCAGCGGAGGATGGCTGTTTCTTCTTCCTGCAGTTCTGTGCTCTGTAATTTCTCCTTAAAGACTGGAGGTGGCACTGGAGTTACAAACACAGCAAAGGCATTCACAGTCACCTTTATCTTGGTTTGCTGCAGCGTTAAAACTACAGCTAAACAGTTAAGTATTAAAACAAGATTTTAACTTCTGGTTTATATATTGGGGAGTTAAAACAAGTGAATGGATTTTGGGTGAAACCCACTCACAAATATTTGTTATTTGTTCGGAAGTTACCGAAGTACTAATCAAAAACTTTACAGATGTTTTAACTAGTTCAGGTGGGATGGGGACTTTGACCAGACCAACAGCTTCAAAGAGGAAAGGAGAAGGTTTGACTGAGAATTTCTTCAAAACAGTCTTTAGAGAAAGAAAGATTCCAAAGAAGAAAAAAAAAAAAAAAGAAAAAAAGAAAAAAGAAAAAAAAAGAAAAAAAAGAAAAAGAAAAAAAGAAAAAGGAAAAGTGGAAGCAATGAAAATTACAGATCTGTCAATTCGCCTACTGGAGCCACCCCAGTAATTTCTCTAGAAACCAGTTAGCATCAGGACCCTGGTAACATATCCACATAGCGATGACAGTATAATAGATCACATTAGCACATCATGTATGCTCTGAAGCACGAGCACCCTACTAACGCGAGCTAACAAGGGGTGAATGATGGCCTTGAACTTACTATTAGCATAAGCAAAATGTTCTCACCAGTCCTGTTTCCCACATCACAGAGAGCCCTTACCTTTTACTGTGAGCTCTGCTGTTGATGTGTGGGGTCCCACTCGGAAAGTGATGGTGCCAATGTCCTGCTCAGTCACCTTCCTTAACGTCAGGGTGTGAATCTTTCCTTTTTCAACTGAGATCTCATTCATTTCATTATTTTGCAGAGCGACATCCTGCAGCTTCCATTCAACATCCCTTGCGTTCTCATGAGAAACCTGGCACTGAAACGTGACATCATCCCCTTCAAACACCACCATGTCCTTTAGGCCACTCACGATGGTCACATCAGGCTCTGCAAACAGTCCGTCAGTAGTCAAGCCATGAACAAACATGGATCAAATCATAAAATCATTGAATAATATAGGTTGGAGGGGACTTTTGGAGGTTATTTGGTCCAACCACTGCTCAAAGCAGGGCCGCCTTACAGCAGGTTGCTCATCACCTTGTCCTGCTGAGCTTTAGGTACCTCCAAGGATGGAGATATCACAGCCTCTCAAATCACATGGTTCAAACTCTGCTGGTTCACTGCTTTCAGCTTACTTGGTAACATGGCCGATATCTTTCATTTAGTGGTTTTATCACTTGCCCTTTCTCAGAGATACATTGCATACTGATTTTTTTAAAATACATGTTTGATTCTGTAATTAGGTGAATAAGGCATGAATGCCAGATGCCAAAATCAGGATTTTGAAATTTGCACTTAAATATCTTCACAGAATAGCATTAAAACTTGATCGCCTCTACTGTCTTTTTGCAAACAGAATTGCATATACTCTGTGCCAGTGCTCCAAACTGGCTGGCGTCTGGGTGGCTCTGTGCTCTCAGCAGGACTTACTAGATTAGTGTGAGCACAGGGCATTTGTGCTTTAGTTTGCTTCAGCCAAGCTTCTAGGACAGCTGGGCACCTGCAGATCTGTGCAATGATCATACAGGCAGTCTGCAACAGGGAAAAGCTGTATATACCCTGAATCTGCTGGGGAATACCAAAGGAGAAGCAGCGTAATCTTCATCTGAGCAAACACAGTACATATTCATACAACTGAGGTCACCATCTGCACAAAAAATGGTGCAGCTGGCCATAATGTACGGAGTGTCTATAATATCAAGTAGCCTGTAGAGATGCTAGCAGTGATTGTTCCACACTGGTGGTCCAACCTGAAAGCAAGCTCTGTCTGTAATGATAGTAAGGGCAGATGCAGCTGCCGTGTGACTGGAATCAGGGGACAGACCATCTGTTCACTCACATGATGTCAAGCAAATATTTCAAGCCATGAGTCAAAAATTACAGCTGCCTCATCCTCTCCTGTCCACCAAGCAAATCTTTGCCTCGGTTCATTCATTGACCATAAGATTTTTTCGTGATACCTTTCCTATGCTCTATGTTTATCACAATAGTAACAATTATATTGCAAAATCTTAGCATCCTAAAATGAAAATCCCCTTGCCCAGGTCTTGCCTTTCACGGTCAGTTTTGCAGAGCTTGTCTCATCTCCAGCCTTGCAGGAATACTCTCCAGCATCACTAGGCTCCAGGTGGTGAACACGCAGCTCGCGGAGGGTGCCGTCCTGCCACATTTCGTACTTGGAGCTCGAATGAAGGACAACTCCATCTTTCCTCCACTCCACTTCTGCTTTGCTAATGGAAATCTCACAGTGCAGCCTGGCCGTTCCTCCCACTTCCACTTCTTCATTCTTCAGCTGCTGCTTCAGCCGGGGTTTGATGGCTGCAAAGTGAAAAACATTAACACACGATCCATTAGCTTGAATGCCAGGTCTGCACAGCTCAGCACAAGGCACCTGGGGTCTGATGCTGCAGAACAAATTTGCATTAAGTGGTTATATGATAACAACAACCCTTTTTTCTCTATAAACAGACTTATATTCTGTATATCCAGGCAAGGAGAGGATCAGAAAGCTCCCCAAATATGTTTGTTTCCCATAAAGTCAAGGGCATCCACATTATATACGTCTGCTCTGGATACTGGAAACTCCAACATGCATTAAAATTTTGGCTAAGCAAAACCTGGTACTTTCTGATTAAAACTAGCCTAAATCTGTTCATTTTTATAGAAATACTCATGACTTCCAACACCGTAAATGATGTAAAGTTTTAAACACATTTCTGATTTCTCTGCTATCTTTTCAAGACCCTAGACCATCAACAGTGAGTCCTTCCAGATGATGCACAAACAAATGGACTACATTTATTCAAGCGGGGCATGGAACAGCTCAGACAACAGCTTGTCACTGATGAAATCAAGAAAGAAACATCCATCGTGAGTGTGTGTGTGAGCAGCTGTGAAAATAGGAATCTCAGTGCCTGTGGTTCCTCTGTCCAAACCCTGTTGTGATACATGTAAAGCAAGCACAGGGCTCTTTCACTCCTGGTTGACCCAGTGGCTGTTTCGTGGGTCAGGTTTAGCCAGGAGGATGTAGTGTGAAAGGTTGTGGTTTAGATCAAAGCCACAAGTTCCACACAACAGTTTGAGATGACCACAAACATTTCACAGATGGTGATTAATCACAGACATAATTCCTGGTTTGTTTAAACACAGTGTTCTCAGGATCTTCATGGGAAGGCATTACAAAAGTTGAAAATAGTAAATTTTTTTAAATGCTTTTGTAAATGACTTATGATTAGTTATTGATTCAACTGAGCCAGCAACGAATGCGAAATGCCAAAAATAAACATCTATTAGAATTTCAAAATCCCTATGATGCAGAGTTTCTTGCTTTTATCCTATCAGAGGAAGAGGTCAATATACTGTACGCTGTGCTTTACAGGCTTAAATAGCCATGCTACAAGTCCTGTCCCACAACATCCACTTTTCTGTATTCTGGTTTATGGCTGGGCACTTGCTTTCCTCATTATCTTAACTTTTGGGGAGGTTTATTCACCAATAAATGAAAGAATATCATTCACACAATTTCACAAATCCCTTTTATCCTCTTTTCCATTTTGACACAATGCTAACCATTCACTCTGAGGACTGCTGTGCTCTGCTGGTCTCCTGTATCACATGTGTAATCAGAGGCGTCTTCTGGTTCTACGTTATGAATCACAAGTTCAGCTGTGCGACCACTTAATTTAATTTCATATTTGGCGCATGGGAAGAGCTCCATAGTGCCTTTCCTCCACTCCACTGTTGCATTATCCTTTGTCAGCTCACACTGGAATTTCACCGCAGCTCCTTCTTCTGCCTCCTCATCTTTGAGCTCCTTTTTGAAAAGAACTGGCAGAGCTAAACAGGGGGAAAAAAAGAAGCAACAGGAGCTTTATTGAAGTCAGAGTCAAGTCCTGGTTAACACAGTTAGACTGATGCTTTGGAGAACAAGACACTGTGCTGTGCAAATGCTATATTCCTAGGTAGGATCTGTGTTTTCTAATTTGCCTGCAGCTACTAGGAGATCTTGCTACGTCAAATGTTATAAGTGTAGATGGCTGCTTCTATTTCCTTTGTTCCTTGACTCTAATCCTTCCCAGGGTTGAATTCTTTGAATGAATTTATCCTTCAGTTGATCTAACAATGATCTCAAGAGTAAAGAAGTTCAAAACTCCATGGACAGGCTTGACAGATCAGGAAGATTGTTGTCAGTCTTCTTCCAGGATTTGGGAAAAAAAAAAATCTTTTTTTAAATACTTAAACCATATGTCATGTGAAATGTCCAGATGTTATGGTAAAGCATAGTTCCTTCTTTAATTTCTCCCCAGCTATCAAGCCAGAAAGTATTTCTTCTTAGAACCCAAAACTCAAATGCAGCACTGGAAGAATAAAGTATCATTCCCTTCCATTCTCATTTAAAAAAAGAGAAATCCTAGTATATCAGATGAAAAAAAAAAAAATTTATAGGGGGGAAAAAAATAGTGTATTTAAAAATATTCATATTTAAGATGTTGGTTTGCATGTTGGATGGAATATATTGCTTTGGGAGTCAGCTCACACCACCTACCTTTCACATTTAAAGATGCCTTGGTTTCCTGATCCCCAGTATCACAGCTGTATTCTCCTGTATCTTCTAATTTGAGATTATGTATTAATAGCTCTACCAGGCATTCCCTCTGCCTCATTTCATATTTCTGGCTGGGTTGCAGCCCCACTCCTCCTTTCCTCCATTCCACTGCAGCATTGGGTTTTGACAGCTCACAGCAAAATGTAGCTGTACTTCCTTCCTCTGATTCCTTATTTTGTAGGGGTTGCTTAAATGTGACAGGTAGTGCTGAAAAAATTTGAGAGGGAAAAGTTTTAAGAGTGTTCTAGTCTGAAAAGGACCCAATCCTACCATCATTCTTCAGAAATGGCCTATTCTAACGATTCCATAATCCTTGGGCTGCAACTCTCTCTCTTGGCAGCATCTTTCTTGAACCATTATGTGAATCAAGAGCGGAGGACAGACCATGAAGTTGGGAAAGATCTGGTCTTAGAAAGTGGTCCATAGAATGGCCTGGTTTGTGATCTGAAGGAGTCAGACTTTCCTATGGAATTGTCTCCATGCCAACTATGGACGCTTTAGTCAAAGATCACTGGGACATGCTCTCTCTTACATGGACCCTTGTTCTTTAATCAAGGTCTGCGAGTCTGCAATATTAAGTGAAGAGCATCCCCCCCCCCCCAAATAAAGCTTCTATCAACATATAAAAGATTAAGTTAGCATTCAAAACACAAGAAGAGGCAGTACAGTAAAAGATGACAATGAAGTGATAGAAGAAATTCAGATTCCAGACAAAGTCTTGCTCTGGATAGTAGAAGGGTGGAGGAAAACAGATGTGGATGCAGTCAAAGTTTACACCTCAGGCTCAAAGCCTTAATTAATAATACAGCACATATAAATCCTTTATCCCCCAATTGTTTCATCTCTTATCATCCCAATCCGGCATTACACCCAATTAGGCATCCCTTATGCCTACTGAAGCAATCAACAACCCAAAATAACAATCAGCCTGCCTGGCTTATTTTCTGTTATCCATTCCCATATGCAGCCACATTCCCAGCACTCAGAAACCAGGAGGGTTCATTATATTTTGACATCATGACAACATTTAATTGCTCTGATGCTGATTAATCATTCCAGATGCTGCAAGCAGAACCTTTCTAACTTGACCATGTGTCATGCTCAGGTAGAATATGTATGCTGGCATGGACTAGCAGCAAAACAAATAAATGGCTGCAGAGAACACCGAGAGGTGATCCTTTCACTTCATCTCTATTGAGCCAAGGGTCAATACTCTGCCTACCATGTACAGTTACCACAGCCGTTGTCTGCTGATGTCCAGAGTCGCAGGTGTACTTTCCTGAGTCATCCAGTTCTAAGTCATAAATGATCAATTCAGCAGTGCAGCCCTGCTGCTTCACCTCGTATTTCAAACCAGGGTAGAGAGTAGTATCTCCTTTCCTCCACTCTACTGGAGCATTGGGTTTGGTAAGCTCGCACCTCAGTGTTGCTGTACCACCTTCTTTTGCCTCGGTATTCTGCAGCTCTTGTTTAAAAAGTGCTGGTAGGGCTATAAAATAGAAATATAACTTGCAACATACTGCCGCTGGGGTTTGGGAAAGAAAGTAGAAAGAAAACAAAATCACCAAAAGAGCCTTTTTGCTGTCTACACCTCAGTACTCTAGATTCAGAGTACAAGGCTATTTTCCCAGAGAAGTAATGGGAATATCTGCAGAACAAGAAATCGATTTCAAGAAGTTAAATTTGCCATGAAGTATATAGAAGCTTAATCTAATCTATGATCTAAAAATGGCAGGATATTTTTCCTACTAGAAAAGTAGCCAACATGTTGTCCTGATCACTGACGAGGTATTCTGAAGATCAGCAGGGACTTGTAAAAATTCAGATTCCCTCTTAAGGCAGGCTGCTTGCAGGAGAGATTACAAGTATCCTGACAATAACATATTCACAAAATGCATTTAGTTCTGTATTGCAATTCCTGTTTTCTACCTGGTCGCTCTATTAGGCTGTACAGACCATTCTATTCTGCACACCTTATGAATTGTAGCCAGCTCTTCTCCATAAGTGACACTAAACCACAGGTTTTATTTTCAGAAAATATTATAACCTTTTTTTTTTTTTTTTTTACCATTGACTGTCAAAGTAGCAGTTGTCTGCTGATCTCCACACACACAGGTGTAATCTCCAGTGTCGTCCACATCCAACTCATGGATAATCAGCTTTGCAACAGCACCATCTTGACTGATTTTATATTTGCTGCTTGCTTTGAGCACCTCCTGCCCTTTCTTCCACTCCACCGCAGCAGGTTTAGTCAGCTCACAGTGCAGAGCAGCTGTCCCACTTTCTACAGCTTCTAGGTCCTTCAGGTCTTTTTTGAATTCTGGAGGCAGTGCTGAAGAGTAAAAGAGTTACCATAGAAAGAGTGAATACTCCTTAAAAAGCAGCTAGATGAGGTCATGGGGGAAAGGATGCATGGTACACTACTGAGCCCTGATCCAGGTCAGTGGATCCTTGGCTTCCATGGACTCTGCATCAGGGTAAGGAAAGTGAGAAGGACCAGCACAGCTGAGGAGGACAAAACCCAACAGGGAACTCTTTTTCTGGTTCTAGCAGAAGAAGAAAGGATCAAAGGAACACAAAAGCCCAAGCACACAGAAAGGAAATGCGAACCGACCACAGCAACAGAAACTTAGGCAGGCCTAAGGTTTGGAGGACCTTAGTCCCAAGGGTTAATTTACCATGCACTGTTAAGGCAGCTGTGGTGCTCTTGTCTCCACACATACAGGTATAATCTCCAGTATCATTCAAGTCTAACTCGTGAACTACCAGCTCCACAACACAGTCTTCCTGTCTCATGCTGTACTTCTTGTCCGGTGTGAGGACTTGATGGCCCTTCTTCCACTGAACATGGGCAGATGCCTTGCTAAGTTCGCAGCGCAATGTGACTGTTCCACCTTCTACCGCTTCCTTGCTGGTCATTTCTTCTCGGAAAAATGAAGGCACAGCTGAAGGATGCAGGTAAAAAGTATTACAAACTGAGGGTATCTCCAGGGATGGGTGAGAGTAGGAAGTGACAGGGTAAAGTTGTGAAGGTTATGGAAGGGTGAGCATCAGAAACAAAGAAAGGAAAGAGAAATTAAAACATCCTAGTGAGAATATATACCCTAATCCTTTTGGGTTTATGCTGGCTTCCTAGTAGCAAAATTGCACTTTCCTCAAGAGATTTACACCTGCTTTCTACAATTTTCCATGTAAGAAGAATTAAGAACATCACCTCTGAGCTCCTTAGTTCACACATGTGTTGGTGTCTTCCACAAGCTTCAGGCCTTTGTACTCTCTTTTCCTACTTACAGAGCAGCCCTGCTGAGCACTGAGTGTTGGCTCCTTACTCATCATTATTCCTTCTTCCTTGAGATACCCTTGAAGAGATGCAACCAGGGCTCACAGATTCTTCTTGACTCCAAAGAAAATCTCCAGATGCTGATTCCCAGCCTGTCTTCTTGTCTCAGAACATATTTTCCCCACATAGCATAATTTAATACCCATTGCAAGTTGTGTCTTTGAAATCAATTTGATGACCTTAACGTATGTGCCTCTATTAACTAGGTGCCATAATGAGATATTCCACCTGTTTAACAAGGTTGCATATCTCAGATCTCAAACTTAATGTCTCACTCCATAGTAGTGCAGCTAAGTCAAAATATCCAGGCTAGAAACCAGGTCTAGACTCCTTGGTTTGGCACATTTCCCATCTCCAGTTAAGCTGAAACACCAGTTTTGTTTGCACAGCAACTGGTTCTTGCAACAAAATAAGACCAGGAGGAGGTCACAGAAAAAAAATTATTCTTTCCTGCTTAGAAAATTCAGTCTCCCAATGCAGATCTATCATTGCACATTAAGACAGAGATTATGGGCACAAAACCCAATATAAACATGACTCAGTACAAAAGAAATTATAACTAACACAGCCTTATTCTGGATACTGCTTTTTATACACTATACTACGTTAAAATGGTAGGTATTGAGAATGCCAGAAAGGAATGGCAAAGAATAAACAGATTTGTGTTTTAGAGAATAAATGCAGGAAAGGAAAGACAAAAGAATAGTGGGCTTATATGCTAGGAAGGGAATGTCAGAAAGGAAAGATGAAAGGATAAGCAGGTTTGTGTTTAAGGAAAGGAAAAGACAAAAGGATGGCACAGAAAAACACAGAACAGAATTCTCCAATACACAGTCTGCAGGTCATCAAAGGCAGGGAACACCTTCAAATGAATGGAACTTCAGTTAATAAGGTTGAACAAACCAACATGGAAAACTGAACACCCTAGAGTAGAGGACAGACATTTCCAGTTAGGAAACAGAGGTGAAGGTAGTTTTTACCCTGTACTGTTAAGACAGCTGTAGTCTGGTGCTCTCCACACACACAGGTGTAGTCTCCTGCATCCTCCTCAGCTATTTCATGAATCACCAGCTCTGCCTTGGTCCCTTCCTGCCTCATTTTGTATTTCTCACTCGCTTTGAGGATCCTCTGGTCCTTCCGCCACTCCACCGGCGCAGCCTTGGTGAGCTCACAGTGCAGGGCGACTTCTCCACCTTCTTCTGCTTCCTCGTTCCTTAGCTCTTCCTTAAAGAGCAGTGGCAGAGCTGAAGGATGCAACAGGGACAAATGGTGATCAGAAAACCAGAATTAAAATCCTAATTTCTTTTTCATGCTTGGGATTATTTCCTTGATGTTTCCCTTTTTCAAGCCTATTATAAACAAGCTTAGCCTTTGCCAAGTTCAGAAACTCTGAAAGCGTTTGCTTCAAGTGTGATGTGGTTTCACTTACCGTAAGAGATCAGTTCCCTGGGTGTCTGTTGATTTTCATTGTGAAAGAACAATACAGAAAGATCCAGATCTTGAGTCAACAGCACTCACAAAGAACACTGCTGGATACAGTACTATTTTACTTACTATTTTACAGGTATGATTTCTTGGAGGCTGGTGGTGTTATTTTCTGTTTTGTTTTTACTAAAAGCTTATAGCCCCACCTACATGAAATCAGCCAGACTTCAAAATAAAACTACTTCTAGTGTTAAATTGAAGTTTGAAGGGTCATTATTACATGTAATAAGAATTTCAAGTTCTCACTATTTCCTGCTGTTGAAATCAAAACCCAAAGACAGAACAACCCAGAGGGAATAGCCTTCAGGAAAGCTAACTATTGACATTTACCCACAAATGGGTCTTGTGCACAACTACTGTAAGCGGGTATGGAATACAAATAGCACTTTCCAAATGCATCAGAAAAAGTCCATGTCTCAGGAAAGCCCAGGGGAGGGTCAGAAGTTTTTTGAAAAAGCTGGAGGGGACAGAACTGGGCCTCTGGCCACGGAAGTTCCTCAGAGCCAAGGACAGTTACTCCATTAAAACGGGTACTCATTGATGAGAGGAGAGCAGAATACCAGGTGATGAGATCATTAATGTAACACAAGGATTTATTTATGGATTGGTTTATTGGGAGCTAGCAGGATAAAGAAGAGTATAACTTCTGATAACCTGTGTTGGATTTTTTTAAATCCCTGTCAAGGTAGTCCTGATCCCCACATAGAGGTGTAGACCCCTGCATCCTTCAAACATAGGTTAGGGGTAAGAAGCTCTGAAATGGTAACTCTTATTTCATTCTGTATGTCTGACTTGCTTAACAAATCTGGTACCCCCAGGGGCAGCTCTGGCCAGGTCACCCAGCACAGCACCATCTCCTCCTCCTTCTGCTGCCTCAACCCTCACTTCTCCTTTGAGCAGTGCTTGGAGAGCGCAGGGCCTGACAGACCATACATCTGTGTTTTGGAGAAAACTGTGGTTGGCTGAAGTGAGCTATGGGGATGGGGGGGTGGGGAAGAGCTGGAAAATGTAAAATGTCCAAGAAAAGGGGACTTGGACAGAAAGAAACATCTTGTTTTCACCTTTTAAAGGGGAACAGATTAATAATTACCCAAAAATTTGCCCTGAGCTGTTACTTCTCAGTAAGAAGTGAAATATACATAGAATGAAGGAAGAGAAAGGGATAAAAAAAAAAAAAAAAAGACAAGTTACTGACACAGGACAGAAAAAGCTGGATTTCAGAGTGATGTCTATCTACAGAGCTATTTATCAATGTTAATAAGGTCTTTTTACCATGAACTGTCAAGGTTGCTGTTGTCTTCTGGTCACCACACACACAGGTGTAATCTCCAGCATCTTTTACTTCTAGTTCATGAATGAACAGTTCTGCAGTGGTGCCAGGCTGTCTCATTTGATATTTGTCACTTGCTTTGAGCACTTTGGACCCTATTTTCCACTGCACTGGAGCTGCTTTGGTTAATTCACAACGCAGAGAGACTGATGCTCCTTCTTGGACTTCTTCATTCTTCAGTTCTTCCTTGAAAAGCACCGGCAGGGCTGGGAATGGAAAGTCAATAGATAGTGTATTTAAACTAAGACCTCTGCATTTGTGATCAGCATCATGAATTCTCAACTGAAGTTCAAATCTGGCCAAGTCAGGGTCTTTGGCCATTGAGGTTGAGGTTATCACAATGATAATCTGGAAAACTAAATCCAGCAGTAAGAAAAGAAGTGCTGAGCCGACAGGTCAAAGTACTATAGGCTGGATGGATTCAAGATGCAATTTAAAGAATTTGTCATAGGGCCACCCTCCATGGAGGCAGGACATCTCAGATGGTCTAACAGGAGCCTTTCCTAGGCACTGTTCCCTTAAACCTACAACATAGCAGCTTGTCTGCATGGAGAAATAGTCATGTCCTCAGCTCCCTTTTCAGGAATATCAGACCAAAATTAAGTGTCAGAACAAGTTCTCCTTTCCTGAACACAGATTAATCCCTAGGAAAAAGCTGACAGGTGAACACTTCTTTCAGCAACCGGATGTTTCAGAGAAACAAAACATGAACCGTCATCTGCAAGATGAATTTACCATTCACTGTTAGAGAAGCCGTGGTGTGTTGGTCTCCACACACACAGGTGTAATCTCCCGCATCCTGCAGCTCTAGATCACAAATTTCCAGCTCAGCAAGGGCATGATCTTGCCGCATGATGTATTTTTCACTTGCCCTGAGTATTTTGTTTCCTTTCTTCCATGACACAGCTGCAGCCTTGGTCAGCTCACAGCGCAGAGTGGCTGTTTGGCTTTCCATGGCTTGCAGGTCCTTCAGTTCTTCTTTGAAAAGTGCAGGCAGGGCTGAAGGTCACAAAATGGACAGAGGACATTAAAAATGACATGTGGCACACAGGTGATGGGGGGTGGTAGTGGTACAGAAACAGATAACATTTTAGGGTGGAAAGAGTTTCCTTTCCTTATGACTCTGGGACATTAGACAAACCAATAGAGAGGAACAGAAGAGCAGCCTGGATGCAACCAGATCTTAGAGACAGCTTACAAATTTAAAGAAACAAATTCAGCCACAGGTGAACACACATCAAATAGCAAGGAGCTGGCAGAGAAATACACAATAATACGGACAGAGATAGATATAAAGATATATATATATGTTTTTTTACCATGCACTTTCAAGGCAGCTGTTGTCTCCTGTTCTCCACACACACAAGTGTATTCTCCAGCATCTTTCAATTCTACGTCATGGATAAGCAGCTTCATCACTGTGCCCTCCTGTCTCATTTTGTATTTGTCGCTGACTTTAAGCAAACTGCTTCCCTTTCTCCACTGTACTTGAGCAACCTTGGTCAACTCACAGCGCAGAGTGGCTGCTTGACCTTCTGTTACCTCCTCGTCCTTCAGGCTTTCCTTGATGCGTGCAGGCAGTGCTGAGGATGCAACGGACAGACGGTTAAAATGGAGCAGCAAACACAGCCTCCTGGTGAAGGGCAGGGGTGGGGGAAGGAGAGCTGAGGGCAGCAGTGGGGAGCTGTCTTTTCTTTCAGGCTTGGTTTCACATTTATTTAGGAATCAAGTCCTAAAACTACCTTGTGTACAGAATTGGGGTGAAAGTTTTTTAAAAATCACAAAATGCAAATTAATTCTTATGACTGTGACATGTGAAGTCAGACTCAGAGGAACTATGCAGAGATAACAATGAACATAGAGAAAAAATTAATTCAAACCAGAAGCTTGATAATGAGGACATCTAGGTGAAATTGGTTATTACCGTGTACTGCCAAGGAAGCTGTGGACTGCTTATCCCCACACACACAGGTATAATCACCAGCATCAGTCTCATCTAGATTATGGATCACCAGTTCTGCAGTAACATCCTTCTGCCTCATTTTGTATTTCTCACTAGGTTTGAGTACTGTGTGTCCCTTTTTCCACTCCACTGAAGCGGTCTTGGTCAGCTCACAGCGCAGAGTGACTACTTCGCCCTCCATGGCTTCCTCATTTCTTAACTCTTCTTTGAAGAGAGCAGGAAGGGCTGAGAAACAGAGGAGCAAACATTTTCATGATAAGCAGTTCTTGGCCACCAAACAAATGAACCTGGTGTTTACCAATATCTATCTGTGCCTAGTTATTGACATAAGAATCATCTCACAGAAGGAAGATACTAATTTGTATCATAGACACAAAAGGGTCTTATACAGTGGGTAAATTTGCTGGTTGGTTTAGAGATATATGGAGAATAAACAGAAGGAATGGGAAAACTTCATGTTTGGTCCAAACTGTAAGTTTCTCAGTATAATTCAGCCCAGGGAATTGATATAATAGGTTAAACCATGATCAGGGAAAAAAGCTAAAGAAAAAAAAAGAAAAGGTTTTAGCTTATGTGTTAAGGATGCCTACAGACCTAGCCTGAGAGTTGGAATGAGGCTGAAGACCAGAAGCAGAGAGATCTCTTGAAAGCGCTTGGGTAACGATACAAAGGAAAAAGGAGGACAATGTCTCCATTGTGGAAATCTGCTATAAGACCTTCACACTAGGAAGTTCAGGTGCATCTCTACACCCAATTGCTTTTGGAACAACTAATAGAATCATTCAGAGCGTAAGACTGGATGTTAAGGTGGTAATATGTATTGTGGGAGCAGTAGGATGGGACAATGTCTACTAAGTCTTTGGAATGGGGTGGGAAGCACTTTTGGATATAGAATAGACATGAAAGAACAGGAGAGGAGGATCTCCAACTCCTGACTCTGACCAGCAAGAAATAAATATTTGAGAATACGGATGCAGAGGATAATTGGGCAGACACGGATCATGAAGCCAGAGAGCTCATGGATTTTAGGAAAAATAATGATGGAGAAAAGCAAAAGGAAATTCTGTGGGCAACAAGAAAGCAAGCTTCAATAATTCAAGAATTGTTACTTATGATCAAGCAGAAGCAAACTTAAAGGACAAGGTAGTTTAAGAGAGTGGAAAGCTTATTGAAGAAAAAACATGAAGGGCATAATTACCCAGACTACCCCACTCCAAGGGCCATCAAGAATAACCTACCTAAATAATGAATTCTTCAGTGTCCTCAAACTCAAGAGACCTATAAAATATGGGAGTTTAGATGGGTGCAAAAGAAATACTACAGAATGTAGAAGTGAAACCAGAAAGGACCCAGCATGTCTCAAGAAGGTCAAGGTCAGTTCCCCATTCCTGGACTTTGTCACCTCGTGGACAAAGAGACCAACATGAAAGAGGGGCTGAAAGGTAATCTGCAAAGTGATGCTGATATCAAATATCTCCAGACACAGCTGAATGCTGTATGCAGTTGTATCCAGCAAGTGGGCGGTGAGGTCACTACTCCAAGAGCTTTCCATGTCCTCCGCTCAGTTCAACTTGTGGCTTTTGGCTGTATCAGAGTATTAGCATGCAAATCCCAGGAAACCTGGCCAGCCTGAACTAGAAAGAAGAAGAAATAAATAAATGATATTCTGTAGGTAGATTAGAAGAAAAACAACAAGGGAACAGTTGGTCTATGAACTTTCAGGAATGTATGTTGATGGTAGGTAAGATGAGGAAAGCTGTAGTATTTAATTCCTTTTTCTTGTTTAATATTAAAAGTTAATGTTAGCTAAGAAAGTAATAGGAATTCTGGCTAGGATAAGGGAAAAAAAAAAACAAAACGGAGCAGAGAACATTTAAATAAACTGAATATTCTCAAAGCACCTTGGTGTGGTGACATTTGTCCTGGAATACTTAAGGTAGAGGCTTAATTAGACATTAACAATTACACTGGAGAAATCAAAGAGAACGTTCCACAAGTACAGAAAAAATGGAAACTCAGAGGTGGAAAATCTCACAGATTTAAATGCACACATTTAGTTCTCCCCATGTAAACAAGGAGCCTAAGCTCCCAGGACAGTCAAGAAAGATCCAGACAAAGTCAACGAAGCCAATGGAGCTACCTGTTGACCAAATGTAAATGTCTGCTATACGGTGAACTGGATGTCTCCCTGGCTTCCATTGACTGTGCTGATTATATCTCCATTGACAGCAATAGGAATTTAGGCACACTCACCACTCTTGATCTACAAGCTGAATCCCACCCACAGCGCTTGTGTCTTGAAAAAAAGGGGGTGGAAGAGGGATGCAAAGAGAGAATCCAAGGAACTATGGTCATATCAGCTTAACTTTAATTATTTGAAAAACATTGTAGCAATACACTACAAGAGCACCTCTTGTTGTGAAGGAGTGGACCAGTGTAATATTTGTTGACATAGGTTAATGAACTTCAGTGAGAGACACACGCAGTATATGCTGTACACCTTGATTTTAGTAAAGCTCTTACTTTTAACTACACTAGGCACAGAAGCACCTCCAGTTTGAAAACCACAGTCAACTGTGATTTACACTCACAATGAAAGAATGAGTTGAGCAGAGTTCATCAGTGCTCTGGAGTCCAGTATTATTCAGCATTTTCTTTAGTGGCTTGGACTATGAAATGCAGAGTAGTCATTAACTTTGCAGATGATCTCAAGATGGGAAAGGAGAGAAGCTGAAAGCACTTTGTTAAACAGGATTAGGATATAGAAGATCTTTGATGAAGCAGTGGTGAAAAAAATAGGCTGTAATTCAGCAAGAGCAGGTGCAAATTATTATATTTAGGAACAATCAACAACCGAATACAAGATGGGGAACAGCAGGCAGCAGATCTGCAGAGACAGATTTGGTGTTACAAGGGATCATGGAGCAAATGCAAGTCAAAAAATTGCAATTCTGATGTGAATAAAGCAAATATCGTAATAGGGATATATAAAATGGAGCATCATATGCAAGACACATGAAGTCCTTCCATCCTACTCCAGTCTGGAAAAGCCTCAGATGGAGCTCTGTGGTCTTCTTTTGGCCACCACATTTATAGAAAGATGTGGATTAACTGAAGACGGTCCAGAAAGCAACAAAGATGAGCTGAAGTCTAGAAAACATGACCTATGAAGAGAGAGTGAAATGATTGAAGGTGCTTAGACCAGAAGACAGAAAGGAGACATCATAAAAGTTTTCACAATTTTCACAGAGAGGAAAATAGCAAATATTTCTCCATTTCTGCAGGATATGGGACAAGAAGTAATGACTTAAGCCAGCTCAAGAAAGACATTTGTTGAAATTAGGAAGAGCTTTCTGGCAGTACTGATGGCTAGACAGTGGAATGAGTGTCCAGGGAACTTCAAATTCTTAAGCACTGTAGTTAGGATAGGTAAGCGTGATGGTTACTTAGGGCTCAAGGATGGACTAGATGACCTGTAGAGGTCCTTTCCAATACTATTGTTCCATGGTTAAATTGGAAGTTCAAGACTGAAGCCATCCTTTTTTTATTGGTAAATATCGAGATGAAAAAGTCTGGGCAGTAAAAAGAAATCAATTCGTTGACCTACTGAATTTCCAGGTGAGCAAGATGGCTGAAACTACTTCCTACTGTCCTATGTTAATAGTGGAAATAAAGTTTCCCTCTCTTCCAAGGAAAGTTTGCAGATTAATTTAACTGAGGACTGTGAAGTACTCTTACGCTACAATGCTGAGTATTCTGCAATACCAGAATACAAATCTACGTGATCCTTGGTCAGAGTTATATAAAGAAGTTGCATTGAAACAAGTTTTATTTGCATTATTTAAAATTATCTGGTAAATGCTAATGTAACTTGAAATCCAAGATCACTCTTTTTAGGAAATATGAATGTGTTCCTGCTGCTCCATCTCTCCAGGCTCAAGTCCAAAGTAAGTAAAACAGAACAAAAAATGTAAGCACATGGAATCCTTCAGCCTTCAGTGTGGTGCAAAGCAGTATAGATGTGCACCAACAAGAGCAAGGAGAAGAACACAGCGAAAATGTTAGTATAATCAATGGAATTACAATTCTAGTTAGAATTAGATAAAAATCACAATAAACCCAAGAAAATCCGTTACCGACAGAATTAATGATGGCAAAATTAGAGAAAGAACTCATTTCATGTCAGTACTGAGGCTTCCATAGGAAACAGGAGAAACATCACACAAAAATTTTCTCATTTCTGTTTTCTTTACCGTGCACTGTCAGTGCTGCAGTGGTCTTCTCCTCTCCACACACACAGGTATACTCCCCAGCATCCTTGACTTCTAAAGCATGAATCAGCAGTTGTGCTGTAGTACCTTCCTGCCTCATAGTATATTTTTCACTCGATTTGAGCACTTTGTGTTTCTTTTTCCACTCCACAGAGGCAGCCCTAGATAGCTCACATTGTAGCGTGGCCATTCCACCTTCTGTGGCTTCTTCATTCTTCATCTCTTTCTTGAAGTGTGCAGGCAAGGCTGAGGAGTTCAAAACGAGCAGAATGTATGACCACGACAGCTATTCAAGGAACAATTTATCTGTGGTCTGTCAACCACATGTGACAAGCAAAGCCCTCCCTGATCAAGTAGGATTGATAACCACTCAGAGAACCATAAAACAAAGGCTTCGGAAAGCTGGAAAACACCTTATCCATAAGTCAGAGCTTTTTTTTATGGTAGAATCTACGGCACGAAATGGACAACCACACCGGTCTCAACTTCTTCAGATTCTGCAAGACTGAGCCCTACTGTACTTTGGGTATTTCCTACCACAATGGAAAATAAAGCCTAACTAGAGTGTCTAAGTTCTATCACAATGCAAATCCTTACTGAAAAAGTTCATAAATGAAACTATATCTGAGGCATCAGTCTCAATCTTCCATGAGATTTCTCCTTAGATAGTGGTCTAACAGAACTTGACCATTAAATTATTCTGAAACACTGAGAACTGCATCAAAAATATCTCGTCACCAAATTGTAATATTCTCAACTTTAGGATTCGAACATCTTTACAACCAACATCACAATAATATGATTTTCCTTTTTAAGAACCACTACTGAACATGAGCATCAAAGAGTTAGTACCAAGATGCATATCTGAAATTTCTGCAATGAACAACTGATCTGTGCCTGATACTGACCAGTGCATTCAGGCATTTATGCCCGTGTCCAATCATATGTTGCTAAATTCATCAGAAATGGGGCTGCAATTTCAACATTCATACTACTATGCTCTTTAAAAAAACCCAGCTGGTTGAAAATAAGCCACTTAATTTGTTATATAATTCTTTTAAATTTTTTTAATTTTTTTTTACCATTCACTTGTTCATACTACTATGCTCTTTAAAAAAACCCAACTGGTTGAAAATAAGCCATTTAATTTGTTATATAATTCTTTAAAATTTTTTTAATTTTTTTTTACCATTCACTTTTAGCACAGCGGTGGTTTCCTGATCTCCATAACAGCATGTGTAATCTCCAGCATCTGCGAGATCTAAATCACGGATCACCAGCTCAGCAATTGTGCCCTCGCATCTCATGGTGAACTTGTCATTCGTCTCCAGGGCTCTGCCTCCTCTCCTCCATTCCACGGCTGCTGCGGGCTTGTTCAGTTCACAGCAGAAAGTGGCTGTGCCATTTTTTTTGGCCTTTCCCTTCTTTTACACTT